TTTTTTGAAATAACTTTTTTTGGAATAATTTCGAAGAATTATTTATTCTTCAAAAAAAATATTTTTAAAAATTAAAAATTCATTTTGTGAAGCCCTATTAATTAACCCTATTTAAATAGTTAAACATCATGCAGAAGAAAACCTCCCAAATTGGATTAAATTATGGATGATAATTGCATCAAAATACAATTTCTTCTGAAAATTTTAACAATGACTACATTTTCAAAAAAATTTTTCATTTATTTTGGAAAACAAATATCTTTGCTACCTTTCGAGGGTATTCAAAAAACGATAGATTTCCAACTTCAAAAAATGATAATATTGAAACTTTAAACTTTCATGCAGCAAAGTTGGGCAGAAAAATCAAAATTTAAAAATGCTCAGCAGAGGTCTTGTATACTGGTTTAGTTGTGATTGGAAGTGGTTATTGTTGTCTTTTATTAAAAAATCTGATTTTTTTATTTTTATACTAGAGTTCGGTATTTTCAAGGTTCCAGGCCCTATATCCTTGTGGTTTATTCAACTGACCCGGGGCGAGGTTCCCGGCTTCACTGTCTACCCTTCCACCACCTAAAACCCTGAACCCCATAAAATCCTATTTTCATCATATCACCCAGTTCCCGGGCTACCCAACTTAAAAACACGATTTTGTCTCGGTGTCGAACTCTCCTTTATACAGTACCGTATTTTCTTTAATAGAGCCCCTCGGGATTTATTTTTCAACCAGCCACCAAGGAGGCTATTCTAATACAGACGGGGGCTTTAATACAGAAAATGCGGTATAATGCTTTCCAAAATTTTTGAACTATTTCACTTCACTAGATTTTCTTCTTAAAACATCATATGTTGTTTCAATAACACTTCAGCTTAATTTTTTATTACAATTTTCGTTCATAATCTCTGATATATTTATATTTTAATACTCTAATAATACTCTAAAAATTTAATTTTTATTGAAATCTTGTATTCCATTGTGCCTTTTTATGTATTTTTAATTGGAAGTAAAAATAAATTTTTAAAAACTGTATTGAGTAAATTCTTTAATTTTAATTATTATTATTACTTGCGCTTAAGTAATCAGTTGAAAGCATGTTTTAGAATCCTCTGGTATTAGCTATACTGATAAAATATGAGATTTCTTTGATGGATATAGCTTCTCTATATAAGTTAATGAGATGAATCGAGTAAGGATGGCGGTTCCTGGAAAATCTCCGGATACCCGGAACCGCCAACCTTAGAATCGAGATCGGCTTTAATTCTTTTGTTTTTACAATTATTAGACAAGATTTTTGCAATAATTTTGGATTTATCATTAAAGATAATTTCACCATGTTTTTTACCCCGGATACAGCCCAAAACGGCCCGAGGCCATACCGGCGTAAAGCCATAACTTGTTGGAAAATGTTCGGCCCTTATCAATTGGTACCAATCTCCTTAGATCGATGAGAGGTAAGGAGATATGTACCTCCTTAGCTCAACATTAAAACATTAAGAATCTAGAAAGGTAAAAGTTGGCAGGAATGGGATTTAAAAATTAACATAATAAAAACTTGAAAAAAATTTTCAGACATCTAACATAAATGTTTGCCATTCGAAAAAGATTTATTGGATTTCCAGACATGTTTAAACGCCTGACTTCTCGCCTGATGCGAGCCAGTAGCTTAAAGCGCCTGATTTAATTGCCTGGCTTAATCGCCTGATGCGAGTCAGACATTTTTAAAATTTTGTCTCTACAGACAAAATTTTGTCTCATTTTGTCTCTTCGTGCGCCCATCTTTTAGAGAGGACGCCCACTAAATTTTGGCCTTTAAAACGCCATTAGAAGGTGTTGTAAAGAGGCATTTCTTAATTATAGTAAGAGCAAGTTGCTCAGGAAAAATTTGTTTTTCTGTTTTATAAAGATATTCTGTTTTTAGATGCTTAAAGCGGCATCAATGTTTTACTCGATGATTCCGTTCCTTATTCTGTTGTGCTCCTTTTTTCAAAATTGTGGTGCTCCAAAGGCAGCTGTAAGCAATATGCATATGGCTCCATTAAACCCAATTAAACCGCCGAAAAAACAATTGGGAAGTTCTCATGGTAACCAGGTTTCTTTGCCAAGAAATCAAAATTTCAACAAGTCTGGCATTGGTTTGACTGTAAATAAGCCAAACCAGGCCTTTCTTCATACTCAAGCAAAACAAGGTAGTCAGGATTTGTTTAGAAATGGCAAAAACCTAGGTGAAAATGGAATGTTTAATTTCAACGAGCATAATAGTGGTGAGTAAAATGTTTTGTGCCAATTGATTTGACAGGATTAGAGGATGTTAAACTTAAGAAAATAGAAATCCAAAGGGTCTGGTATGTATTGTAAGGGAGCGAAAGATCCAGCTGGCTAGCATTTAAAACGCTCAATAGGCGAGGGTTTAAGATCTGTTAAAAGAGAAGATGAAAAAAGCATCCCGGTAGCTTAGTTGGTAGAGCACCTGTACGTGGTGAGCGAAAGTGCCTAGCAATAACTGCCAGGAGGTCGTAGGGAGGTCGTACTGCCAGGAGGTCGTAGCGCCTAGCAATAACTGCCAGGAGGTAATAGGACCGATGCCTGCCCGGGATTAAACGTTTACCTGGCTCTTACTGTGTAGTGGTAGACGTAAAGAGATAATAATTTTTTAAACTTAAAATAAATTGCTGCAACTTTTACTCATAGTCCTTTTATTCAAGATCTACTTCCTGAATTCTCTGATTTATATAAAAAAGAATTATCCCCTAAAGAGATGGAAAAAGACAATGTTGTCGATCTTGAAGAAGTTGAAGAGAGAGATAACCTTGATAAAATTTCCAAAAAACGTCTTGATAAAAGACGTGGTAAAAATTGAAAGATATGTATGTTAAAGAAGATGAAGAAGAAACGAGATGTAAAAAAGAGTCAAGGCAAATTTGTAAAAAAAATTTTCTTTTAATCCTTCCCATGTTATGTAAAACAAAATTTCATATTATTTGAATTCCACATACCGTATTTTCTCGATTAATCCCCTGGAGATATTTTTTCATCCCTTCCTTTGTATGGGTAATTAATTGAGGGAGGGGAATTATTCGGAGGGGTTTCGCCGGAACCGAAATTTTCACCGGAAGCGGATCAACCGGAACAAAAAGAACACCGGAACTTTCCGGAACCGGAACTTCCGGTGAAACCCTAGTAGTAGGGTATTTGGGGGTGGGGAATTATTGTTTCATCCCTTCCTTGGCATGGGGAATTAATCGAGCGGGGGAATTAATCAAGGGAGGGGATTAATCGAGAAAATACGGTATGTTAAAAAAGATGTGAGAAGAAGCGATATGTAAAAAAGAGTCAAGGAAAATCTTTTGAAAAAATTTCTTTAATCTTTCCCATTTTGTAAAACAAAATTTCATATTATTTAAATTCCACATAACCTCAAAACATTTCACAACTTATTTAAAAAATCCTAACCCCCCCCCCCTTCCCCCCCCCCCCAAAAAAAAATCCAATGCTACGCATTATTTTATTTCTTTATTTCAATGTTACCGAAGTAAAAAAATTTTTTTACATGTTTATTTGATTAGATATTTTCCCTTTGTTTTTAATTTGCTAGTAATGTTCAAAATCCCTACGGGATGAAATTTAGGGAAAAAAAACAAAGAACAGAAAAGTATCAAGGTTCTACTTGACTTTATGAGTCCAATCAAAAAATTTTTGGATTTTCTTGGTGTTGCAAAGTAGGGGTATTCCAGCTTGTTGAGGTCTGATTGTGTTACTTTATCATATCCTTATGTCTTTAAAAGTTCTCAACAAATATTGCTCGAAAATTTCTTTCTAAATTTATAATAAAATTTTGATAATTTAAATTTATGAGTCATCCTATAGAATTGTAAACAAAACCTTAAAAGATGATAAACAAAAATTTTAAAAAATCCAAAAATAAAACAAAAAATAAATAAAAAAATAAAACATCAACAACAACAATTGTTGCCTTCTACTAATATAGAAATTTAGGTACTTTCCTGTTATCGGCCCTCCATTTTTTCTTCCTTATTTCTCACTTACTTCTGCAGATTTTCTTTCTTTCTCAAATTCACTCCGTTTCCCGGTGGCAACAAAGAAAAGATAATTTTTAGCAACGAACAGATTAATTTTTTATAAACATTCAAAATGAAAAAAGACAAAACATAAATTGTCAAAAGAGGAAGTTATCCCTATGACGTGGAAAGTTGTCCTGTGAATGTGGGAAGTTGTTCTATTCTAACAATGGGGGAACAACTTCGGTTGGAACAACATCCCCACTCACGTAAGCAACATCCCTATAGTTGGAACAAGATCTCTCCATAGTTGGAGAAATAGTTAGATAGTTGGAGAAATAGTTTATAAAAAAATTAATCTGTTCTTTGCAAAAAATAATCTTTTCTTTGTTGCCACTGGGGAACGGAGTGAATTTGTGAAAGAAAAAATCTGACCATTCTGTACAGAAGTAGGCTGAGAAATAAGGAAGAAAAAATGGAGGGCCGATAACAGGAAAGTACCGAAATTTAAAAAAAAATTTGTGTTTGTTCCAAAAATTTATTTGTTTATTCACTCAAAACTTCCTTAAAAAAAGGTTGCCACATTCAAATAGAAATTGTAAACAAAATTAAAAAAAAAAAGTAAAACAGGTGTCCACAAAATCCTTTAAACTACCTCCAGTTTAATACACATTAGTTTTTTCTTAATTCTATTTTTTATTTTTATCAATTCTTTGAAATTAAGTTAGAAAAAGATGACAATTTTTTATCTTGCTTCTAGCCTTAAATTAGGATTATATTTTTAAACACCTCACAATTTATTTTAATTTTTTGAGTTTTAGCTGAGATATTCATCGTATTTCCATGAATAATTACTCTGGGTAATTGTAAAGGGAGGGTATATATAATTATTCAAAAGAGGGTGTTTATCAGTTAATAGGGTAGTTGACGGAATACATATTATCATTTTTCCTAGACTGACTGGAGAGAGCAATTAATTAAGAGGATGTAATTATTTGAGTGAGGATAATAGGCTGAGATACCGTATTACTGAATGCCATCCTCAATTTGAATGCCAATGCCCTAGTGTTTCGCCGGACCGCACCAAAACTAAAAGGTTCCGGAACCGGAACCGGACTGAAATATTGACCTGATCCGGAACTACCCCTAAAACCAAAATTTTTTAGGATTGGGATGTAAAAGATATTATTTGGGAAGGCTTTCATTGGATCGCCACAATGCTACAACTTCTAAAAATTGTTATTATTATTGCTTTACCGGTGTTTTTCAATTTTGTTACAAGCGGTATTAGCGTTTTGCGTTCAAAACGAGGGGTAAAATTTTTATTTGATCGAGATTAGATTACTAGGGGTGTGATTATTTCTTCTATTGTGGTCTAAATTTTCCAAAATTTAGTCTGAACGAAATGACTGGATGACTGAGAGCGTATCGACTGAATCCGACGAAGGGATGACTCCCTCTACAATCTCTACCGGTGATTTTGTTTTTGTAGGTGACATGGTTTTTGAAAAGAAAAGCGTGGCAGATGAAAGCTCTGAGGAGGAAGGTGTGCAAAAAAGCGTGATTAGAAATATGAGCAGGTAAAATTTTCGATAATTAAATCAAATTTTTATGTCTTGAATATGGGAGGACAACTCACTAAAAGATTAGAGAGTCTGTAAGACGATTAGTGGGGTCTGAGAGAGAGCTGTGGTCCATTTTCAGATGTCCGAAGGTTTCCATGACCTGCCAAACCTACCAAAGACTAAGACTAGAACTAAGACCTGACTTAATACTAAATTACCTTGAGTACCGAGTAATTGGCCCGAGTAAAGACGCAAAAAACACGAGCGATCGAGCTCGGCTCATAAACTCATACACTAACTCGGACGTACTCTACTTAATACTAAATCTTCCTCATATTGGGAAACTCAATACCTACCTAAACAATTTTACTTAAGGATTTGGCCTAATAAACAAATGCCTATACGTTTCCACTCATCAGTTGGAAGAAGAGCTAGAAGAGCTGTTCAAACAGCTATCAACACTTTAGAAGGCGAAACATGCATTTCTTTCCCGAAATACGATCCGTATCTGCACAAAAATTATATGACAATAAAATCTACCGAAGAAGGTTGCAAGACGTTTGTTGGCTTCAAAGAAAACCAAGATCATAACCAAATTAACCTAGCATCTGGTGATCCCTTTTGTGAATCTTCTCCTAGTGCTATCCATGAAATAATGCACAGTCTTGGAGTATATCATGAACAAAATAGGTAGTTATTCAATACATGAGGACCTCCTTTGAGGACTTAAAGGAGGTCCTGGGGATGAGGATGACCTCTAAGACCTCCATTCTTGTGGTTTAAAATTATATCTTATAACGGGTTGGCATCGCTTAGACACCTCTTCCTCACGCGCCCATAAGGCCTGTTGCTCCTTAACAACTCCACGCCTAAATTTTAATGTTTTAGGTATGATCGTGACGAATACATTGAAGTTTTGTTTCATAATCTGATGCCTGACACTGTTTCACAATACTATAAACAAAGCAGAGCAGATTTGGAGACTTATGGGGAACCCTATGATTATGGCTCAATTATGCATTATGAGGTGCGCGCAGGAACGATGTATGGATTACCTGGTTTTCGAGTACTCCGATCATACAATGAGGACGCTATTGGTCATGCGAAAGTTCCAAGCCGTATAGATCTACGCAAGCTCAACAAGCTATACGGATGCCCTGCGAGGTAGCTTTGAATTGGTGTAGTATACTCGCGATATAACGAACTCGAAGGGGTCCGATAAAAGGGTTATGTACTGTAGGATCAGACTAAAAACCTCCAGATTTTAGTATTCTTCAATTTACGAGAGCCTTCTAAAATTTAGTTGACTATTATTAGGCGGTGGAAGTGCCTTACCCACAATCCAAATTGTTATCTAAAATACAGGATGTACCTTAAAAGTTGCTCGCTTAAAAATTTCATCTCGTTTTCTTTCCAGTTATGGTTCTGATGAGGTTATCTCTTTTTAATCATCGAGTTGTTGCACAAAGTTGAAAGGAGGAATTAAATTGAAATACAAATAAAATTGGATATTTATATTTTTATTCTAATTTTGCCAATAAACTTAATGTATTTTGCCTGTAATTATTAGAGCTGTCCAAGACTCGAGGCCAAAATTGGGCCCTCAAAAACGACCCCCCCCCCCAAGAAATTTTTGACCACGGACAGCTTTAGTGGGAGCGTACCGCTCCTTCGTTCAAACCTTATTCAAAATTATCATATTCGGGGTGCTTTTGTAAGATTCGAGATTTACCTCGACGAGTCACTAAATCTGGTCTGGTGTGATAAGTTATGATAAAATACCGTAAATGCTGAAATAATGTCCCTTTCTCAAATAATTACCACCGACCTATTAATTACCCCCTACAGCCAGAGATCGAAAAAATTATTACCCCTCTTAAAAATAGTTATAATTAGCCTTTTTTAAAAAAGCTAAAATAAATACCCCCTACCTTTTAATTACCCCCTCCAGCGAGAGGTTAAAACAATAATTACCCTGGTAGATATTTTAGAAATACGGTAGTTGTGATAAATTGAGTTCAAATCCGTTATTTCTTTAAAAACATTTTTACGGTGAGTTATTATCATCTATTTGAAGCTATTTTGGCGTTTTGCAACCTATTTAGGTACCTATTTTGAAGTTTTTACAACGTTAAAATCGGAGCCCTAGTGACGAGGATACAGTTCTTATGACTTAATGTTCTCCTCAAATGTTGTCCAAAAATCTTTCCTTAAAAGATAAACAAAATTTTGATAAAAAAAAATTTTTTTTGCCCGATCATTAATCAAAATCTTCTCGAAAAAATACCAAAAATAAAACAAAAAACATAAAAAATAAAATAACAACAGCTGCCCAAGACCGAAAGTCAAGATCTATATTAGCATTGTTGCCTTTTACTAGGATAGAAATTTAAAAAAATTTTGTTTGTTCCAAAAATTTATTTGTTTTTATTCACTCAAAACGTCCTTAATAAAGGTCACGTAAATTGAAATAAAATTGTAAACAAAACATTTAAAAAGTTGTAAACAAAATTTTAAAAAAAGTTAAAGTAAAACAGGTGTCCACAAAATCCTTTAAACTACCTCCTAGTTTAAAACACATTAAATTTTTCTTAATTTAATTTTTTATTTTTATCATACCTTTGAAATTAAGTTATTAGAAAAAGATGACATTTTTTATATTGATTTTAGGCCTAGATTTTTAAATTTCTCCAAATTTATTTGAAAATAATTTTTTGGAATTTTAGCTAAGATTTTTTAAATTAGGTTTAAAAATTGAAAAAAATATTACAGTAATTTTACCGTATTTTCGGGAATATATACTCTGGGTATCGTCCGAAAATTCCTCAACCTTTCCCTATGACCTCTCAATATAAGGCCTCTTTGGGGGTGATTGGAAAGTAGATTGTCCGTTGTCCTTATAGGGTATAATTAATCGAGGAAGGGTGTTTAGTCGAGTTTAGAAATTTTAACGTTTATAGGGCAGTTGAAGGAGGTGAAGGAGGTAATTATTTTTACAGCCTCTGGCTGGAGAGAAATATAAATTGAAAGGGTATAATTTTTGAGAGAGTATAATCTGAATTTACGTTTTACCTCCAATTTTATCCAACCCTCCATTTGAATGCCTCGGAGTGATTGAGGGCATTCAAATTCCTTTGGAGGTGATAATCACCTCCATGCCTTTGGAGGTGACTGAAAAATAAATAGTCCGGTCATTCCATTAGAAGGAAATATAGTATATGTATTAAAAGTACCTTGTTTCTTAACTACCCCTAAAACCAATTTTTTTAGGTTTGGAATGTAAAAGATATTATTTGGGAAGGCTTTCATTAGATCGCCACAATGCTACAACCTTTGCTAATTTTTATTATCTTTACTTTATCCATCAATTTTGTTACAGGCGGTACTTTGCGTTCAAAACAAGGGGTAAAATTTTATTTGTTCAAGATTCAGACCAAAATTTAGTCTGAACGAAATAGCTGGATAACTGAGGACGCAATAACTGAGGATGAATCCACTGGATCCGATGAAGAGCTGACTCTATCCGATCTCTTTTCTGGTGATGAGTTTGATTTCGTAGGTGATATGATTATTGAAAAGAAAAACGTGGAAGTTGAATCCTCGGAGGAGGAAGGTGTGCAAAAAAGTGTGGTTAAAAATATGAGCAGGTAAAACTTTTTGATAATTAGATCAACAACATCCCTGATAGTAATTCCTTTAGCCATAATTACCGTTTTCTTCTAATAGTGCGACAGTCTATTAGACCGACTCCTACTAATAAACCGACCCTCTAGCGTAATTTTGAAAAATAAACAGACCGGTCGCACTATTAAAAGTAATACGGTAGTTCCTATTTTCGACGGTTTGAAGTTCCGTGACCTGTAGATGGGGAAAGAGTTCACTAGGTTTCCTTTTGAGGTTTTCCAGTGGAAAAACCTCTGACTGAATCCTACTGAACATTCGTTAGCGTAGGAGATCACTAAAAATAAAAAAATACATATTTTTGGGTACTTGTGTAGTTTCCCTCCCATATGCCCCGCCCCCTCCCCTCCCCTTCATCTTCCCCTTGTTGTTAAGAATTTGGCCTAAAGCCTATACGTTTTCACAAATTACTGAGCATTCATTAGAGTTCGAAGGGATCACTAAAAAACAATAAAGCTATACAATTTTTGTTAAGGATTTGGCCTAATAACCAGGTGCCTATAAAATTCCACTCATCATTAGGAAGAAAAGCTAGAAGATCTATTCAATCAGCTGTCAACATTTTAGAAGATGCAACATGCATTTCCTTCCCAAAATACAATCCAAATCGACACAAAAATTATGTCATAATAAAATCTATAAAGAAAGCTTGCAAGTCGACTGTGGGTTACGTGGATAAACCGGGACGTAACAGAATCAATCTTGAATCTGGAACCCATTGTGAAGAGCCTAATACTGTAATCCATGAAATAATGCACTGTCTTGGAGTATCTCATGAACAAATGCGGTGATTATTTAATATAGAGTACCTGCCTTTATAATGGCAATCTTGGGGCTGAGAATTGTATCTTAGTGTAAGGAAGAGAAAGATCCAGCAGGCTACTAGCATATAAAACGCTCACTAGGCGGGGATTTAAGATCCGGTAGCTAAGTTGGTTGAGCACCTGTACGTGGTGAGCGAAAGCGCCTCTGGAGGTCGTAGGAAGGAACTGCCAGCAGGTCGCAGGAGGCTTGCCGGAGATTAAAATTTTACCTCGTTCATACTTCAGTATAATGAGGTGTATTTTGAATATGTATCGCTTAGATAGCTATTCCACACGATGACCGATATACCGTATTTCCTGGAATAGTTCACCGATATAACCCTCCCTAAAGGGCTGTAAGCACCTTACGTGGTGATCGTGGTGATCCTTCCGTCTTCTAGGAAGACGGTATCTTAACTTGAACTGTATATTGGTGTATCTACGAGGTACGGCTGTATAGGGTTGCTCCCTAACGACTCATGAATGGATTTTACTGTTTCAGGTATGATCGTGACGAATACATTGAAGTTCTGTATGACAATCTTGAGCCTAAGGCCGTTTCACAATATGCTAAACAAAGCAGAAAAGATTTGGAGACCTATGGAGAACCCTATGATTATGGCTCAATTATGCATTATCAAGTGCACGCAGGATCTAAGAATGGCCAACCTGCTTTTCGAGTACTTAGGCAATATGATGAGAACTATATTGGTAACGCGAGAATTCCCAGCCTTATAGACTTAAGCAAGCTCAACAAGCTCTATGGCTGCCCACAACCCGAGACAGTCGATTCGAGGTAGCTTTGAAGGGGTACAGTGTTGGGCGAAGAGCTCTTTAAGACTTAAAAATATCGGCTTTTTCTTTTCAGTTCTGGTGAGATTAACGATCCACGACCGCAAAAACGCCCACCGCCGCATCACGTGCACGATGACGATTGTACTTGTGAAGATTCTTAACGGCACTGGCCCGTTAATTTTTGTTCCTAATTTTTTCAACGATCGAGTTTATGCATTTTGATTTTTTAAAAGGGAGAGGAAAATTGTAAAATAAATACCTATACTATAATTTTAATTTTTTGTGCATCATTATTTTTAGTTTTTTTTATTTTTAAATGATTCAAAAAAAATTTTAATGCTGTTTGTCTTATGAGTTATACATATTTTTATTTGAACCGATAGGAGAAGTATGATGGAAAGTTATTCGAAAATCTTTTTAAATTCTCTTTAAATTTTTAAAGGACCATGGGACGGGTTGAGATCGGGTTTCGGGTCGGAAAAATGTCCGGGTATCGTGTTTCGAGTAACCCGTTCCATCCCTGATAAGGACTAAAAAGAAATTCGCCTTCCCCTATATTTTGGAATTTTTCACTTCATTATCCTCGAAATTACCTACAACCTCCCCTAATCTCCCATCTTTTCTCCAATCTTTTACCCACGCCCTTCTTCACTCCAAGCCATTTCCCCAGGCTATACTCATTTTAGACTATTCGAAATTTCGTTTCGTGTTTCGACTTCATCTCTTTTTCTGTATGGAGGTTCGTAAAGATATCTAAGAAAATTTAATAGTCTAGCAACAAATTAATCTGTTTAGACAAGTAATTAGTTAAATAGCCATGTTCCCTACACACTACACGTAGTCGGTAAGGAACATAATTCTCTAATTAATTAGCTAATTTAATTAAAAATACATTTATTATAAAATAAATTATAGATAAATATCCTCTCTTTTTACACTTTTATTTTGTCCATTCAGCCGTTAGAAAAAAATTCAAGAAATATTCTAAAGGCCGTCAAAGATTTATTTATTTATCTCCATTAATCTCCCCCTCTCGCCTTATTTGTCCAGCAATTATATTTAATTATTTAATGGTCAAAACAAAAGAAAGTACACTTTTCTTATTCAATTATTGCCTTCCTCCCCTTCCTTTCTATAAAACTAAAATAAAAATTCTCGCCGATTCCCGCGGTGATTTTCAATTTGCTTGGTAAACCCTTCCCTAAATGTTCTTTTTAAACGTTGGTAAGCATTTATTGGGAAATCAAATGCTCAAATCTTGAAGGAAATGGGAATGGGTTTTTATTTTTATTTGTTTCTGACTATATTTTTTCTCCTTTTTTATTATTGGGCCAACTCATAAAATAAAAAAGTGCATTATATACGTGGTTCAGGGATAGGCACGTATTTTAAAAAGAGGTAGATGGAAGAGCAAAAAGAAGGAAACAGAAGTCCCCTTCCTAATAGGAAGGGGACTTCTTATAGAACCCGTCCAGCCTATAAGGAGTACACTCCGCCACATAATTATATGAGCACCCCCAAAAACCACATTTTACCGTATTTATATGTCGAAATATTTTTTAACCTTAATATTAGTAATGGGCTAAAATCACCATAGAAAAAAGGAAATCTGAAAATAGTTTCATGGGAAATTTTTTTTATTTTTCAATTTTTGTACCGCCACATAATAGGCTACTTTCCCGAAAACGTAAATAGGTACTTTTAGGTTCTCTAGAGACTACAAGTAGTCTGTAGAGTTAATGTTACTTACAGACATGTGATACTTTTGACCTGGAAGACTGGTGGACGAAATTTCTGGAAATAAAAAAATTATAGATTTAAATTAGGAATTGATCACCTTGATCAACCCTCCCCCACCCTATCTTACCAAAATTCTCAATTTTCTCAATTCCTAACACCTCTTTGCCCGTTTAATTATTTTTCTTTGTCCTTCTTATTATTTTCTTAAAATTTCAATTAATTTTTCTTTTAAAATTTGAAAAAATGCCTTCAAATGAATTAAATTCTCCTTTATTGAATTATGAACAATTATTGATGACCGAAAATATTAAAAAGGAAAAACTAAATTTTTATATGGGTCCCGTTATTTTTATGGATAAACAACTGAAAAGGCTTAGAGAGGCGCCTGTACACGTAAAAATTTTTGAAAATTTTAAAAATGAGTCTCTACAGACTGTGGTCCGTAGGGAACACGTTCTTTACGGACTACGCGATTCTGTCTCCTCCCTTTTTATGTAGTTATACTTTTATGCGAATTCATTTTTTGCGGATCAATTTTGTCTTCAGATGCTGATCATTCATTGAACATAACCCTCTTCTTTTAAATATACCCTGGATAAGTGTCAAAGAAATATGATTGGGCTCCCTTTATAGTAAGGATATCTCCCCAAGCCTTTGGGGTCGGATGTGTCGGGGATCGGGGTTTGCCGGGGAAAGCATGTCGGGGTTCGGGTCGGGGGTTTGGCAAAAAAATCGTTGGGGTCGGGGACGGAGAACTACCCTACTTTATAACATTGGACTCCGTTAGAGGGTAATCTCAAGTCTCTCCTCTATCCGACCTTAAACAATAAAGGAAACTAAACTTTTATGGGCAGACATTCGTGTTGAATTTAAGAGTGTTAAAAAAGTTTAAAAAAAAAATATTTTTCCATCTTCAGACAGTCATTAGCCCGGAAAGGTTCCAAATAAGCATTGACCTGTCAATTTTTGAACCAGAAGATATTCAGGTTTGAAAGAAATATCTTATGAAAAATTACCCAAAAAATTTAAAGTTACTCTTATCTAAAGGCCAATTAGTTGTTTTGGCAGAAAGAGAAGTTAGAATTAACGAATCGTCTGTGGTTGTTCGACATTTCCGTAGGAAAATAAGTATACCCGAGGATGTGGTGACCGATGCTGTTGCTACACAAATTAATTCGTAAATTTTAATTAAATTTATCTTGGAATGTATGCTAATCTCGTTTCAATGGAGTAAGTTAACCTGTTTGGGTAAACTAAGCAAGCATCTTGCTGATATCTCTAATCGCATCACTCCTCAGTATCTCCCTTTAATTTTCTTTGTATTATCATTTTGTCCACCCCCCCCCCCCTTTTTTACCCAATTTCCACAATTTTGAATCAAGTAAGTAATAAGGGAGATTCAGCTATTAGCTAGCTTTTTAAAATCGAGTGGAAGTTGAAAATCTATTAAATGAGGTAGAAAGTAGTACCTCTATGACTCAGCTCATAGTCTACCTTTACAGGAGGTCATAGGAGCTTTACAAGTAGTCATAAACATGAAGATCACAGGGGATACTTGCCCAGATTTAAACTCCTACCTCTCTCTTACTGTATTTAATTCGTAATTCAATTTTAGGTAAATTTCAAGTCAATAATTTTCTCTTTTCTAAAGGTTTGGCATTCTTACAATGACAGTATTACGAAGAGCTAGAGCTTAATCAAATAAAAATTTTATTTAAAAAATTGTAGTCTATTTAACTGATATTTTAATTAATAAATTATTTCATTGTGCTAATTTAAATAAAAAATGAATTTTAAAAAAATCTTCAAAGTCCCCTCTATTCAACTCATTCCTCTTTCTACCACAATTATTACGGACCCCAATATTTTTCCGTTTCCAATGGTTACCCTTTTAAAATATTTTTTTCCTTTTCTCCTCGTCTTTAAATGGTCACCTCTCCTTCCCTGTTGGACGTCTTTTAAATAAATACCTAAATTGTCTCCATGGCATCTGCTAAAAAAATTTTTTTTTATTTTTTAATATAGTTATAAGCCTTAATTAAATATCTTTTTTAGTTGTTCTTTTTTGTTTAATTTTTGGTATTTAATTTTTAATTAAATTTAACACGTTATACTACTAAAATACTCACACGTCAGAGAAGAAATTTTTTTAAATTAAATTTTTAATTAAAAAAATTCTTTTATTAAAAATTAATTTTTGAAAGTCATTCTGACACTTTTAAAAATTTAATTAATATACCGTATTTACTCTGATAATTACCCCAGGCTCTACAATTTATTAATGAGTAATTATCGTTTCACATATGGCTTTAGGGCTAATTAACGGTGGAGGGCAATTAATGTGGCGAAATAATTATTTGAGATATTAATAATTATTGAGATTTACTCTAATAATTCCCTCGGATAGAGTTTATTGTTAAATAATCACTGGTAGGTCCCCTAACCAGCAATCACGCTCTTATTCTATTGGCTTTGGCTGTAGGGGGTAATTAACGGAGGAGGGTAATTAATGCAGCGAAATAATTTTGAGATAGGATAATTAATAGAGGTTATGCGGTCAGTTGAAGCTCGGTTTTAAATCCACCAGTGAACTCGAAAGAAATTTGTATTTAAAAATGAGAGTCTTAACTTGAGGTTATCGCCTATAGGCGATAGTGAGTGAGTGACTAATGTGACAAAGTTGAGTGACTAATTGAGTGATTAAGTGACCTCCCAGTGATACCCTAAAATTAAGGTCGTATCTAAAATCGAGGTGTATCCAATTTCTGGGAGTATCTTATAACGAGAGTTTACCGTATTCTAAAAATAATTCTCTCATACCTTGGCATTCTGTTTAGTTTTTGGCATTCTGTCAAAAAAAATTTTCAATAAATTTTTTTAAAAAAATTATCATTCAAAAGAACACAAAAAACCTATTTTTTACTCAAAAATTGTTTACGAGTTCTCTTTAACAGTTCTGCCATTTTTCCAATTCCCAAAGGTCAAATAAGTGCAAGAAACTGGCATTTATCTATTTTATTGTCACTTATGTTTAAAAGGTTAACGCTTAGGCGAGCGCTTATAATTTGGCTTAGAAGCTTCCTATCTTAATGAAATTTTGTATAGAGGTCTCCAATAGTGTTATCTAATATCTCTGAAAATTTCAGAATTTTCGGTGGACTAATTCAGAATTTATGAGCAAAAAACCTCACTAAAGTCGACGTTTTTCCCGAAAATTCTGATTTTTCACCAGAACTTCTGAAATATCCCACCAAAAATTCTGAAATTTTCAGAGGAGTTAGAGCACACTATTGGAGATATCTATGCAAAATTTGGCGATTTTAGGGCCTCTTTTGACTTTTTCATAAATTAATGCCTGGACGTTACTGCATAAATACCTGCTAGACTGCCTTAATCGAAGAGAAAATTTTTAAAAAAAAATTTCAAAAAAAATTTTCAAAAATTTTTTTCACCCTTTTTTGAGTATATTAAACAATTATAAGACTATTTTTTAATTTTTTGTTAGCAAAAATTCTTCCAAAAAATTCTATGCATATTTAAATTGTCCCCTTTTATCCTCCCCCCCCCCCCTCCATTCATTTCCCTTTCACCCCAAAAAGCCTCGGCAGCTAAAAAGGGGAAAAGGGAAGTACTGAATTTGTACAGCCCTATTGTCGAGAGGGTTGTTTGCTGCTATTTTACTGCTATTTTTAAAATATTTACTAAAAATATTTTGGGGGGAACAAGAATTTTTGTACAAATATTTGCTAAAATCCGACCCTTAACTAGTATGATAACTGAAGCTTGGGATACCTAGAAAAGGGAAAGATAACATGATTAGAAGTGGTTGACCATTTTGGGATGTTTGAAAACAGGGCTACATGCAATCGCAAAAAAGATTCCGCAACTCTCAATTTTTTTTTAAAAATCCGCAACTCGCAATCCGCAACTCGCAATTGCAAAAAACCCTCGCAATCTACGCAATCCGCAACTCGCACAATTCGCAATTGCGTGCAGCCCTGTTTGAAAGTGGTGGGAAGGTAGACAGGGAGCAGGCCACTTTGACGCAGCCCACTTTGACGCAGCCCACTTTGCCGCGCCCACTTTGACGCAGCCCACTTTGACGCACGCCCACTTTGACGCGCTCCCATTGATTGGATACAATAAACTGTGTTCACTTATTAATCTTTTAAATTCGTGTTCTTCTCCAGTTGTCGTATGAATGCGCCCCTTGCAACCATCCACCGATATCCATCCAAATCGCGTCGAGATTTTAGAATTTTCGAAGGCCAAGGAGGACTAATTCGAACGGTTTCGGTCCTGTTAAGACAAAAATTCACATTTTCCGGCATTTAATTAATCATCCCCTAACTCCCTAAGATCTTCTTTCATCGATATCATTATTACTCCCCTTATCCATTCTCTATTAGGCTTCAACTGATCCACATCCCCCTGGCCAACATGCCTCTGGTTCTTCCTATATATCTTCGAATCCTCTGAATATCAAGGGCTCAAGAGGTCTAAGTTAGATAGTGATTTGAGAAACTGGGAGATTCAATTTATCTCTCGAGCACTCTTAATCCTCCAAAATGCCTTAAAATCGCTCAATTCATCCTTATTACATCAAATGACTTTATCCTTGATACACTTATATCGCTTAAATATTCTTTAATCATGAACCTCTAGTCATCTAACCCCTAGTAATTACTTCTAACCTGCTACATACGACCTTTTATACTAGATAAGCTGCGTCAAAGTGGGCGTGCGTCAAAGTGGGAGCGCGTCAAAGTGGGCGTGCGTCAAAGTGGGCTGCGTCAAAGTGGGCGCGGCAAAGTGGGCTGCGTCAAAGTGGGCTGCGTCAAAGTGGGGTGTACCCGGTAGACATTTGTACATCAACGAAAACCTTCATTCCCTCCAAAATGTTAGAAGCTGTTATCCCACTCATCAGGATAATATAAAGATTAAAGATACTTTAAATATAAAGCGCGATGCTTCTCTCACTCTAATTAAAATTAATTTACTTGAGGGATCAAAATAAATTTTTTTTAATTTTTTAAGACTCAACTAACATTTTTCAATTTAAATTTATTTTTAGAATTTTTTAGAAAGAGTGATTCACATAAATAAACAATTAAAAAACCGCTCGCCTCCCCCCCCCCCCCCCACTCATTATTTTCTGTTATCATTTTAAATTTTTTTTAATTTTCCTCTCATGTCACATCACTCACCTTATCTTTTAGAGTCGGGCAGACTTGCTAGACAACCAAAAATCAAAAAACCTGCCTCTAATGAGCGAATATGATTGAAATACACCTCGCGTTTTACGAGGTTAGGGTTATTCGGGCGTGGGTAACGTTGCGGCGCGAGCGCTTAAATTTCCATGTTTTTGAGAAGATAGAGCCGTGAAATTTTGTATACTCCTCCCTAATATGGTTATCTTTATTCTCTAGAAATTTCAGAATTTTTGGTTTACTATTTCAGAACTTCTGGTGATAAATATCAGAATTTTAGGGGAAAATGTCTATTTTTGTAGTTTTTTGGCCATAACTTTTGTAATACTAAACCGAAAATTCTGAAATTTTTTGGAGGGGTAGCTAACACTATTAGAGACCTATATACAAAATTTCACATTTTTAGGATTTCTTTGGAAAGACTTATAACCTCCCATGCCTAGACATCTCATCATTTCTGCGCCCAAACACCCCCCTTCCCTCACTCAATTCTCTCTTCCTTCCCTCTCATTCATTCCCTCAAACAACTCCATTCATTTTTTCATGTTCGCGAATTTCTCATGTATACTACAATTTTTATTTTACGTATCCGATCGATGCGTTTTGGCTGTAAAGTGTCTTTTTCTCTTTTTAAAACATTTAAAATATTGCTTCTTTTGTTCACGTCACACTGATTGAACAGGGGGAAAAATTGCTTGTCATTATAGCTATTGCTTTGACAAATACTAGCTGACTTTGTAAAATACATATACTTGACATTGTTAAATAAAAAAATATAATTTTTAGTAATATGTGTAGGTTAGGTTTTCAGATTTTTTTTGAAAAATTAAAAAAAAATCGATAAAAAAATTTCAAAAAAATTTCAGAAAAACACATTTTTCATACATACTTTCATACATTTTTAGAATTTTCAAAATAATTTTTTAAATATTTTTTTAATAAAAAATTTTTAGATTTTTCGAAAATAAAATTGAAATTTTTTTGAATCCTTTTCTGTTTCCCTGACCATTTTGAGCTTTTTTTTTAAATTTAAAAAAAAAAATTTTTTTTAATTTTCAAAAAAAATTTCAAAAAAACATTTTCATGTTTAAAATTTTTAAAAAAAAATTTAAAATATTTTAAAAAAATTTGAAATTTTTTTAAAATGTTTTTCCGTTTCCCTGACCATTTGGAGCTTTTTTAATTTTCAAAAAAAAATTCCCTTGCCCTTCTCCTTACTGTATTTTCCGACTCTTTTGAATTTTTTCAGATTTTCTGTTTTCCGCGGATTTTTTCGAATAGATTACTAGACTAGCGATTTTTTATATTTTATATATTATGTAAAAAAAATTTTTTTTGAAAAAAAAATCCGGAAATGAAATTTCAAAAAAAACTTTGATTATTTCCACGTTTACCCAGGCTTATTTCCGCCTTTAATTGAATTTTTATTAAAATTTTTATAATTTATCTACTATTTTCTACGATTGAAATTAAAAATTATTTTTTTATTTTTATTGAAAATCCACTATTCATACCATCATTTTTACCAGTTGGTCCCTGAAGTGAGCAGGCATTATAGCAAGACTATGGTCAAATGAGCTCAGCTAACTGAACACCAGCTTTGATCGTTTATAACTTTTTCCTAGCCTTGATCCATTCTGAATAAATCCTTACGCGACCTGGCACGTAGGTGCTCCATTAGTTTTAGAGTATCTGATACGGTCACGTTTTGAAAAATTTTTAATTTTGTAAGGTTTTTTAATCAATTCCCTCAATTACACACAAAAATTCTTTCCTCTCCTAATTTAGACGCTTCTCCTAGTCCCTTGGAGCTGAAAAAATTTTACACCTAATGAAAAGTACACTAAAATCAGGGTATCACTTAAGATCACTTAAGATGGATTAAGAGATGGAATTTCAATCAAAACTCTCTCGAGATAGCTATATTTTGAGAGACAGTCCTCTCCAGTCCGCTCTCTCAATATTTTTATTCCCTCACTTTTATCACTTTTTTGATTGAAATTATTTTGAAATTCACAAAAAAACAATTTTGAATGACACATTTTATATTTTTTTTATTTTTTTGTTTGTCATTTTTCTTTAAAAAATTTTTTAAATGTCATCAAGTTTTATAGAGGAAAAATATTTTTAATTTTGTAAAGGTTTTTTAATCACTTCCCTCAATTACACACAAAAAGTCTTTCATTCTAATTTAATTTTTGTGATTAAATATTTTTAATTGAATCATCGCAGCGTAATGATCGAAAATTAATTTTTTCCCAGTTTGATTTCTTCTATCGAGCATAGGAAAAAACATCAGTGATACATTCTAAACTTCTGTTACCCCCCCCCCCTTCCGCTCTTTAAAAAGCGGAAGACAAGGCGGAAGGAAAAAATTAGAGACGGACTCCCATCCCCGGTCAACACCTTTCCGATCTGTTACGACTCTACCCCCCACACTAATATTTACCTCTAAATTTTGTTAGTATTCCTTGTTATGTGGTCTTTTCAATTTCCGATCACACTTTTCTAGACCTACAGACTCAGGGATCGCGCCGACATTAAAACAAGATTCCCGATTTCGGGAATCGGAACTTTTGTCGGTGCGACCCTGATCTCACTGTGACTGTACTGGGAAGTTACCCATTATTAATGTTAAATATTTGTGTGGCAGATCGAAAGGTGTTTATTTTATAAGTAGAAACAAAGATAAAAAAATCTTCTTAGGAAAAATCCGTCTTATCCCCAGGAACGTGCCAATTTCACTTCTCTAAATTTGTTTCGGCATACTAATGGACCTTCCATTCTAAAATAAACTTTTATTTTTTTCTTCCCATTTCCAAATTTATTTTTAATATTTTTAAAGGTCCTTTTAAATAAATTGCCACCCCTTTTTGGGTAAACACAAATAATAATATTACTAAAATTAGCCTTCATATTTTAGCTAGAACAAAACCCTTATTTTATTTTTATTGTTATTATTTTTGTTGTTTTCCTTTATTTCCTGTTTACTAAAATTCTAAAAATAATTATTTTATTTCTATTTAATATTAAATCTCTATTTAATTCCACTCTGATAAATTTAACCGGACAGATACACTTGAGAGATTAGTATAAGGTAAAAGGCCGATATGTGGGAGAAGAAATGTCAAGATACACGGGATAAGTCAGAGCGTGAATTTTATGGAGAAGGGGATGATTAAGAGCCTTTTATGTCCCATAATCTGTAACTTATGTATCCCCTCACATTTTCAAATTTTTTCAAATACATCCTGTGCACACCTCCAAGATATCCCATCTGATTTTATTTAATTTACCCATCTCTCATATTTTTTCATATTCTTTTATCAAATGAACGTTAAATTCTAGTCGTGTTCCAGCCGGGGTAATTGGGGGATGAATTTTATGGAGAAGGGATAATTGAGAGATAATTGAAAGCCTCGTATACATAGTCTGTTTCCCTTAATTTACTCATTCTAACATATTTCCCCTTTTCAATTATCACAATTGGAGTTGGAGTTTTTCGGACCGGTCCGACATCGAGTCATCTCTTTCCGGCCTCATTTTTATCGGGCCAGACCAGTCAAATCTTTTTAGGCCAAAATTCAATGCCCTTCTTGATCTTTCGGATCGGACCAGGCATCCAACCTAATCACAAGCTCCAGCTCATACCCACCAATATACATAGGTGGCATATTTAAGAAGGGTAGGACATGATAAAGATTTTTTTTATTTTCTATACCATTTTTTCAAAATGGTTCATTCATCAAGATTAATCATCAAAAATTCTTTAAATTTTTCCTCATTCTTTTTTTATTTTTTTTTTAATTTTCTGACTATAAACTTGAAAAGGTTGTTTTTCAAATGAGAGAAATAGCCTTTAAAACCTGGTGATTTTTGTCATTTTAATTTTTAATTTAAGAAAGAATTTTTTTAAACATTCCTTTTAAAAATAAAAATATGCCAACATTATAACGAACAAATAAAAAAAATTTTCGAACAAAAGAAATGATAAAATCAACAATTAAAATATTTATTTCTTTATTTTTTTGACACTTTAAATATTTTTAATAATTTTTTATTTATTTAAATATTTACAAACCAAACATATTTTAACGTAACGAGGAAAAGAGTAGAGCTCGAACTACGAGATATCGAACAAAAATGAAGTCTTTATAAGACCGTAATTTGTCGAAATGATAAGCCCCCTCCGATTGAGCGAACGCCTCCGATAGAACGGCCCTTTGAGAGGGGATTGATACTTAAGGACGTAGGGATCCTGCCGACACGAAGAATAACTTTTTCGTTTTGAAGTTGCTCATTGCATACGTCAGGGATCGGGTGAGGGTTTTTCAAAATTTTCTTCAAATAAAGTCGGATCTATTAGAGATTAAGAGTGAAAAAAGCCTAGAGTTTTGGGTAGCCTATCCATTCCCTGTTGTAAACCTCAACTTGTTCAAGAAAAATATTTTTTTTTAATATTATTTTATTATAGTTTTTGTTGCCATTTTTCACATTATCTCCTCTTTTAATTTAACTAATTAAAAATATTTTTAATTGTTCCTCTAACCCCATCCATTTTATATTTTTAATATTTTTGGATTAACACTTTTTTCTCTCTTTTTCTCTTTCATCTACTCGCCAAATATTCAAAAACATTTTTATTCTCCCTCCATGTTTTGTTGAAGAGACCCGTTCGTATTTACTAGACTCCCCACATCCTTTTTATCCGATGGAGGATATATTAAATAAGAGGGGAGGAAAACACTCATGCGCGTAATTTTAAGCTCTCTTCCCTTCAATTTTTTTTGAAACAAAAAATTCCAGATCGTTAGAAAATTGAAATTTTTTTATTGAATTTTTATATTAAATCGAAATAAAAATTGGAATAAATTATATAATGAGGGGCGTTCTTTAATAGAACGGCACTCTCTCTACTATAATATTGAAGTGATTATCAAAAGCTTGTAGGAGTAAATTACCTCTTAGATACATAGGAAGCAAATAATTATCCAATGGTAAAGAAGAATCGAACTCTACTTAAACAGTATCAACTAGGGTTCGGTTTGGTTCTTCGGTTGGGTTTCGGATATCCGAAGAATTTACAGGAACCGACAACCCTAGTATCAAAACTTAGATATCACTCTCTTATCTCACCCTCCCTTATAGTATCATTCCTCATATGACGCATTTTTACTTATCCCCTCCCCCCTCCCCCCCCTACCCCCCCCCACGCTTTATTTATTTCCCCTCCAAATCATTTCCCCTTCTATCACCTTACTCTTCTTGGTTGTGATACCGTATTTACTGTATTAGAACCCCATGTATTAGAACCCCATATTAGAACCCCATTTAACTGTCCTCCAAAAGGAGGTTTTATTAAGGAGGGGCCTTTAATTCGGAGGAGTTCTATAATACGGGAAATATGGTAACTCAAAACTTTATCTTAATATTTCAAATATTTTTATTTTTAATAATGACCAAGTCAATGTGTAGTTGATCACATAAAAATTTTATAATCTCATTTTTCAGCTTTTCCTTTATTTTCAATCAAACAACGCGGATTATCCTTCCTACCAAACAACAAAGAAAAGACCAAATCAATTGCGCATCTTTTCTTTATTCAAAAAACTTTTCTTTTATTCCCCCAATTTTTCAAAGAATCAAAAAGGACTAGAAAGCTTTATATCCAACAAAAAATAGCTTTGTTCCTTTAAAAAATAATTTTTCCTTCCCTTAAAAGAATCTTTAAATTAAACAAAAATTGCGAATAAAGTGCGTGAACTACAACGACAAGGCCGTTATATTAATCGTTCTATGGACTACTTAGAGGTACAGAAAATTTTCTGAAGAAAAATTCCAAAAATATCCAAATTAAGTGGACCTAACGTTCAAAATTAGGGTCGGGCCGAAGTTCGAGATAAGGCCGTTATATTGGGCTTTATTTTTATCGAGTCGGGCATCGAGTCTTTTTCGGGCTAAAATTCGATGTCCGACTCGATCTTTCGGACCGGACTGGGCCTCAACCCTATTCAAAATATCCTAAAATAAGATGAGTGAGAATACCAAAATTTAATTGGATTTGGAATTTAATTTGGAATTTAATAATGTATTAGGGGCGGAAGTAGAGGGAAGAAACGCCTCTTACCACGAGATTTTTCCACTCATAATTTTATTAGATAGAACACAACCACCCTATAGAACAACTCTAGATCTAAAGGAAAAGTCTCCTATATCGAAATTCCACATTTAACGAATGTCGCTACTATCGGGAGTTAATTATATAGAGGTTTTATTAGGTAAAAAACAACTCTATAGGACTACTCTAAGCTAGAGGAAAAGTCTCTTATACCGGAATTCCACATTTGACTGAGTCGCTACTATCGAGAGTTGACTACATAGATGTAAACACGAATTTTCACTAAGGACGTTTTAACTAAACCCCTTCAAAACCTCATTAAATTAATCAAAAAATTCCAGGCAGAACCTTCACCTTCTCTATACAATGGAATTGTCCCCTCATCCTCCTCCTCCGTAGCTTCTCGTCTCTACCTAAACGGACAACGCTCATCTAGACGAGATTCTTTTAGTTCAGATCCAGAACTTATCCATTTACACGAACATTCTGATTCTTGTGCTGGCTCAGATTCTAACAGTGCTGCTAATCAGGCAATTTAAACAGAATGCCAAAAAATTCAAAAAAATTTTTTTTGGATTTTAGGTGTCCCTCTTTGCCCAAAAACTTTCAGAACTTCAAGACGAGAAAATTGCTGCGACAGAAGAAAAGTCTAGAATCCGAACAGAAAATGCTGTTCTTCAGGAAAGAGTTCATTTGTTGGAGGAACAGCTCCATGCTACAGAGCAGAGATGGGCTGAAAAGTTGAATGAGGAGAAGGCTAAAGCTAGGGAGATGACTCAGAGGACTGATAGAGAGAGGCAGTTGGAGGCGGAGAAGGAGGCCCTTAGGCTAGTGATTTTAAATGGTTTATTCGTGGTCTTAGGTCTTAGTTGACTAGAGACCGGACCGAGACGGAATCTCGATCGAAAGTCTCGGTTATCGAGGTTTTTTCGAGATCTCGATTCTCGTACGACACTCCCAGTCCGGTCTCTATAGTTGACCCTTTTGGAAAAAATCCGCGATTGACCGTTTTGAGATCAAATTATTTATTAACCATATTGAATCAAATTTACTGGTTGACCCTTCCGAAATAATAATCGACTGACCCTTATGAAACTTAATCCCTCTTTTGACCCTTTTGAAACAAAATCCGTTTCTGACCCTTTTGAAATACAGTAACTCTTAAGGAATTCTTACTCATCCTTTATTTATCATTCCCCTCAAAAAACCTTCCTCTTTTAAGGCATCAAATGCTCTCCAACCAAGTCACACAACTTGAACGCGAACGGGAACGAACAACCTCCGAATTGAGTGACGCTAAAGACCGCATTCGTCGCTTGCAAGATCAACTGACAGATTCACAACAAGAGGCAGAGAATGCCCATTTAGAGCATAAGGCGCTTAAAGCTGAATTTGAGAGGTGAAAAGGAGGGAGAAAAAAATATTGGGGGGAAGGGAGGGATTAGGAAATTAGCCACGAAAATTTAAAAATAGAAAATCAATTTGTTGAGAAATAAAAAATAAATTTGTAAATTCCCCTTAAAATTGAGGTGAAAATAAAAGAAAATTTCTAAAAAATTATTTAGCTATCGCCGTGAAATGACTAACCGTTTGGAGGATAGTTCTGAATTTTTGGAAGAATTGGCTAGGCAAACGGACCATTTGAGACAGAATGAGTTGGAGAAAATGCCGAAACATGGGTCTTTAACTGATAGGGTAGGGAAACAATAAATTTTTTATAATGGAGAATATTGAAAGGAAAATACCCTCTATTGTACGTACAGTCAACTTCCACTATAAGAGACTTAAGAAAGGTCGTTAGAGTGGATTGTCCATAAAGCGGAAGGTTCGTAAGGGACAAAGCCCTTGATCCGTTAATCCATGAACAAAAGACCAAGTCGCTTATATTGAGCGGTCCCTAATATCTGGGTCTATTATAGCGAAAGTATTATGGAGGTACGACGACGTTAGTATCTTAGAACACAGACTACACTACATCCATTTATAACACCTCCATATTACGTACAATCTCTTGTAAAAGAGTATGTACGTTGTATAGAGGTTAAGATTTGTATAGAGGTGTACATTGTATAGAGGCTAAACAATTGTATAAAGGTGTACATAGCATATAGGTTAAAGTCTTTTATAGAGGTGTACGTTGTAGTGAGGTTAAGCTTTGTAGAAAGGTTAGGTGTACATTGTATAGAGGCTGCCTTATAAAGGTCGAGCACGTTATAAAGGTGTACACTATATAGAGGTTGAGCCTTTTATATAGGTGTACAATGTATAGAGGCTAGCAATACGCATTGTAAAGAGGTTGGGCTTTGTATAGAGGCGTACACTGTATAGAGGTTATTGTTCCACAAGAGAATTGGAAACTTCATTCCTTTCCAGGTCAAAAACCTCTTTTTAACAACCTCCCTTTTTAAGATTATTCAATTGGAAGACGAAGTAGACAGACTACAAATTGAAAATCGTGAACTTCAAACCCATTGTGACGACTTACAAGCCCAATTATTACACAATTCTGTGGAATGTGGACGTAGTTTGTTGGGGAATGGAAGTCAACCAAGCTTGGCTGCAGAATTGAATGGAACGAATAATGGGGGAATGGATGAACAAAAAGTTGTGGAAAATTTTTTTTGAAATTTAAAGAAAAATTTTAATTTTTTAGTTGTTGAATATTATCAAAGAACAAGACATTGATAATCAAAAATTGAGAAATTATATTAATGGTAAGGTGGAAAGAGTTTTGGAAAGTGAATTCGTTGTTAGTTGAACCTCGTCTATAGAATACTACTTGGAAGGAAATGAAGATTAGAAAGCCGGAGGGCCTTGGGAAGGGGGTCCAGACTTGAAACTGAAAAATTGCATTATAATAAAGTATCGTAGAGTATCGTATAGACAACTTCTCCGGTTTTCCTATCACAACTAGTAACGTATTCATCAATGTATGATATGATACTCTATGGTATCTAGGGTTGCAGTTTTCGAGTCAGGCCGACGGTCGAGGCATTCTTTTTCGGGCCTCATTTTTATCGAGTCTTGCCCTACGAGTCTTTTTCGGGCCAAATATCTTATGCCCGACTCGATTTTTCGGTCCGAGTCGGGCCATTTTGGCAGCCCTAATCATATCTCATCTAGAGTGGTTTCGAATTTTCGAGTTTCGAGTCTGATCCCACCCATGTATCATACTTTCCCTTTAGTAAACTGGGCTTAAAAATTTGAGACTAACGTTCATTTAACTTGAAAATATTATTTTAATTTCCTTCTAATTTTCAGGTATCCTTATAAGAGTGGTCGAGCTACACCCCGAAATTTTAGAAATAAAGGATGATATGAACACATCAAAACATTCGGATATTTCCGAGGAGAAGGATGAATCCAATGCCCCTTTATGACAATTAACCGGCGGTACTGCAACTACACGGACGGGTTATGGCAAACGGTCAACATCACAACCAACATCACCAACTGCATCGGGATTGGTGATTAGAAGAATTTTTTGAAAATTTTCAAGAAAAAATGTCTGAAAAATTTTTAGAAAATTTTCGAATTTTTTTTTAAATTTTGAAAAAATTTTTTGAAAATTTTTGAAAAATTTTGAAAATTTTTTTGAAAAATTTTGAAAAATTTTTTGGAAATTTTCGAATTTTTTTTTAAAATTTTCAGAAAAATTTTCAAAAAGAAATTTCCAACAAAAAAATTTTTTCTTTCAGTTTGCTCGTAACGAATTAGAGCGCCTTTCCCTTCGCAAACCCTCTACCCGTTCTGCAGCACCGCCACCTCAAGAAGAAAATCAAAATTTGATGAAACGCTTGTACAGCTCTTTTTGGACTTTAAAAGAAAGATGGAGTGGAGAGAATAATGAAGGTTGTGTGGAAGGAACAAAATTGGAAAATAAAGGAGAAAAATCATTTGACATTCAAAAGACCTCAAAATAAAGAGAAAAAACAGCTACACAGTCGAACCTCGTTATAAGACACCTCTCTGGGAAGACCTTGTAAGAGGTGTACATTTAACATGTACTAGGGGGTATACAAGCTTAGGCAGTAGTCCACCCAATGGCCAAAACCAAGTTAAAAAATACACTCAGAGATCGAGAAACCGTGACCTGAAAAGCCTAGACCTGTTCTTGGACTCTGGGGTTTGATTTATTGACCTGGGCCGGATCCTGGGCCTGTAGTCCAGGAAAAACCCAGGAAGGTCAAAAAATGCTGAGACTGGACTCTGGGTACAGGAAAAACCCAGGCCTTGGTCCAGGCCCAGCTCGATCCCAAATATCCTCTATTGTACGTACAGTAAATCGATTGAGGCTTATCTAGAGGGTATCTAATAACGAGGTTTGGCACTTTAAGTAATATACTAATAAATGAGCTAGAAAAACCATTCAATTTTGCTTTCATAACCCTTCAAGTTTTATTGTATATTTTTATGTAACAACTCATTTTTTTAAACCCCACAGTTTGTCGGGTTGTTTTCTGTGATGTTTATGAGTGTAATTTTAAATTTTTTTATCTTAATCTGTCCAAAAGGATCGGAAATTTTTTTATTTTTAAATAATCCACCGTACCATTCAAGGTCCTCACTTAATTTTGAAAGATGCCAAATGAAACATTAAATATTTCAAAAATAATCGGAAAAAGCTTGATTAAAATTTTCGATCCTTAACATGAACTAAAAATACTTTTTTATGTTCAAACTTTTTTATAATAAAATTTGGCTTACGAGCAATTGGTAGAAAATGCGTTAGTGGACAACCAAGGACGAGCTAGGAATAAATGCAAGGGGGTTTATTAGGTTAACAGATATGAGGGACATCAGGGAATTTGGGGGATTTCGAGGATTTGGAGAGATTAAAGTTTATATTGTCAGAGATGTGAATTTGAGGGGTAGTGAGAGTTATCTGAGTTTTCATGGATATAGTTGAACTTCAAGGATATAATCGAATTTGGTGATTAAGGTATATCGATAGATTGAAAAGATTTGAATTAAGTATCTAGGGATATGTATGGATTAAGGAGGCTTGTGGAGATAATAAGAAATTAAGAATATCTAGTTGAGAGATAATGGGGGCCTTCTCTTTTCTTCATGGTCTACTGACCGATAATTTGATTTATGAAATGATATATGAAAAATTTGGTTTTTGATTATCTTTAAAAATTTGATTATTTTATAAAAATTGATTTCTTTTTTTCATTTATCCTTTTAAATATAAATAACAAGTGTTAATAATAATATAAATAACAAGTGATTACTTCCGGTGCTTTTGATCTTTGAAAACTTGATTTTTTGAGGCTTTCGATATTTAATAAAAATTATAGCTTGTCAACTACGGGAAGTATTTTCCGATTATGTATGAAAAACTAGTTGAATTACATATTATTGGTAAAATAAATAGAAGCTCAATAAACGTTTCAAACTGGAAAACGAACAGTTTAATTTCTAATTAGACAAACGCGGTTTATAATTTTAAGAATTTTTACCTCAAACAATTTTAAGCCAATAATTTCAAACTATAAAAATTTATTATAACAATTTAAATTCAATTTATTTCAAAAACGTCTTATTGGAAAAGCAAGACTTTTAACATATTTATCTAAGTACTTTTGACATAGGAGAAACTGGGCCCTTTAAATTGATACTTAAGCGCGTACTTAAGGTTATATCGCTGCCCGTATGCATATTCTAAATTGATGGCATTCGAACATCACAAGAATGAAGGGATTGTATGGAACGATTTGCGAATTATTATAAATGGTGTCAATTCTACCTTGCTTAACTTTAAGTGTGTGTGCCCCCCTCCCCTCGTCAGGAGATGGCGGTTTATACTGCGAAGGATTCTATATATTAAATTTCTTAGAAAAACATTTTAAACACCGACCCATATTATCTTTACAATTATCACCACAGCTATAAATTTGATATTTTGGTATAAGGTATCGAACCCTACTGATAAAATTAGCCAATTAGAATTATAATTAAAACTTGGCTCTTCAGGAATGTGCGCCCAGATCATAATTCCAATATTTATCGAAGTCGCTTCCGTATACATGCAAAAAACACGATGTGGTTGCGGACCGCCTTCTTTTTGGAATTCGCAAGTTTCAGCATATCCCAAAATGTTCCCAAAATTTTTTTGTTGTCAAGCAAATCATGTAGTTTACGTAATTTGTCTTCGTTAAATATCAAGTTAAAATTAATTATTTATTATAAATTAAGATTGATTATCAATCACAATTAAATTTCTTATCACAACGATCAGAAATTTAATTTTCTGGTCCTTCAGAGGAAATTTTGACTTATTTCAGGCAAATGAGTATTTGATGTAAATGAATATGAAGGAACACGACCTGGCTCGCGAGTCCTCCCATAATTGTGACATCTTAGAAAATATCTTGAACATAAGGCCTTGTCCCGGGCG